GGGGGGCGGGTGTATCCAACTGTTTATGCTTGTTAGTTATATGATATTTTGACGAAAAGTTTTGGTATTGGTTTGTGTCACCCTGGTTAAATACTAGCCGCTACCTTCCGACACGGCTAGGGAGATTTTCTCTTTAGCTCATTTGGTTGAGTGTAAGACTAGTAAGCCGGAGGTCCCCAGTTCGACTCCTGGTGGAGGCATTGAACAAATAATGACCTCTGTTACATTGGTGCCTAAGTAGGGACCCGTGTAATTTTGACAAATATACTCAGCGATACTTTCACAAGAATCGCTTTCACTATCCTATATAAAAAGTGAAGTACAAAATTTTGTTTTTTTATATAGGATAGTGAAAGAAGATTCGAAGTGCATTCAACCATAACATACAAAGATGTTACCCAAATGCAGGATTTTACCCTTGTGCGCCCAACCTGTTCCTACCCACTCGGCTCACAGGGGCATGTATCGCTTTACTTGTAATCTAAAAAAATAGGGGTCTCCTATACTAATATGTATATATAAGTATAGGAGACCCCTATTTTTTTTATATTACAAGTAAAGCGATCCATGCCCCTGTGCACGGAACTACTAAAAATATTGATATTGTTATAAATTAGACTTCCACGCGCTAGGAGCCTAACAACTTATAGTAACAAGATCAATATTATTAGTACAGCTGCGTTCACATACATGGATCCCCATTACTCCTATAACATAAGAGGCCGCTAGTCGGCCTTTTTTTTCTTTCTGTCGGATGTGATTTTGCCTGTCAAAAGTAAAACCCCTAACACTCTGTTGGAGTAGTGGCCACATATCTCGCAGATAGAGAGGTCTTTCCTACAGTCTAGTTCGACTCTCTGTACATGAGATGAGACAACATATTATTGAAACTAACCTTCACTTTTATTTCCAACAAAGGTCTTGTATTTGTTCGCACCAGGTCTCTTAGTAACTGGTTTTTTGAAGTTTCTTGCTTTTATGTTTTCATCCATGCTCGCGATCCTGAAACAAACATGCAAAAGACTCAGATTGAAAAAAATAAATTATAATCAACGAACCAACCTATCACGATCCGGAAACATGTAAACAAAACTAAAGTAGAGAGTAAAACAAAAACACGATGTTATTGTATATATATATATGTCTCTGAATGCAGTTTGACATCTATTCACAACATGGGATGGCCAAATATATTTAGTGCTGTCATAAAATAGCTATTTCATAATTTTATTTATTATTAAGGCGCGTACTACTCCCGAAATATGTACAGGCTTTAAAATAGCTTTACTTCAAAATTTCTAAACGGAAACTTAAACGACAAATAATAAAGATAAAATGAAAAGGAACGTATATGTTATACCAGCGCCATGTAAGTATAAATACAACGTCGCAAGCTCTAACTGTAATATATGTACATACCAACTGCAAGTTCCAATATATACGTATACGCCCCCGAGTGATTTGGAACACTTCTTTAGAAGAAAATTACCCAAACAAATGTTTCACGATAGTGAGGCAAAGAGAATATATTTGTGATTTATTTTGTGTTTTATAATGATGTTATAATTACGATACATATATATCGAAGATTTATATTTAGTTCTATGGTGTATCAATTTCCTTATTTTGACCTCTTGGATTGGTTTGGCCTTCTTTATTTTTATCATTGGTCAGTTTTGAAAGTTCTCCAGTTGTCACCTCTTGTGTTAACCCACGTAACTAGATTTGTTATCTAAGTCCGTGGTTATAATTAGCCTTTTTGGTGCGGTAGTTGTCACTCACTGTTAGACGTCTTGACGAAGCAGACATAAGGCAGAACAAGTAGGAAATTTACTTACTAAGTTACACAAATTAATTGTCCAAATTCTAAATCTTTGCTTACATTTCTATTTTCATGTTTGTATGTATACGATACCATCATAGTCAATTCTCGATTTATTACATCTAACTTTCGGGCCAGGTGAGCTAAAAACGACAGCAAATAAATCATTTTGCATCTGAAACCCTGTTGCTCTTTTACCCTTTTGCGCTTTTTCTGAATTTGATTTTTACAAAATCCAATAACCTCTTGGTCATTTTGCCTTTTGCGCTTCTTCTGAATAGAATTTGAAGTAGACACGCATGTAACTACGTACTTAGGCGAACATGTGTACCATGTTTAGTCATGGTAACATCAAGAATTCCTCGAAATAGCAGAAGCAAACTTTAAATGTCTGGCAGTCATTTTGGTTTTCTGGTCCATCTTATAGTGGAGCATGCCAAACTAGATACTACACACCTACACATCGTATATTGGGATCATTTTAGCGTAGTCTAAATTTAATATTACCGACTTTTATCCTCTTTTTCTTCTTATATATCAACATATCGTATAGGAAATGAATTAGAAATAGAAATAGGAAATAGAAGTAGATCAACTTTGATTGTGTTCACAAAGATGCACCTCCCACTTAATTCTTTCTAGGTATTCAAACCATTCTTTGCAGATGATATAATAATCAAATCACAAATCCCTTCATCAGTTACAAAACAAGAGGCCCAGTTGGCCTGTATCGCTCACCTGTTTCTTTTGTTACATGAAACTGACATGAAAATAACTTCAGACCATATTTGGTTACTAAATGTAGAACACAAGACATTTTAACATCTCTTCAGCGGTTCTTTAGATATTGTTGTTTTAAATGTTAATTTTAAAGCTTTTAACCCACGTTGACCTTTGACTCCGGCTAGCACTTCAATTGACCTTTGACTTCATTACTGCAATAAAGAAAACGATTCACACAGCTGGTCTACATAACATACCTAAGTATCATGACTCTAAACCGAATGGTTCTCAAGATATTGTTGTTTGAAGTTTTGAACATATTTGACCCCTGTGACCTTGAAATTAGGTCAAGGTCATTTTAATGAGGAAACTATATAGCATTCCATCCCATGTACATACTGGTCAAATGTCATGACCCTGTGCCTTATGGAACTAAAGAAGATTGTTCAAGCTTTTAACCCATGTTGACCTTTGACCCCCGACTATCACTTGAAGTTGACCTTTGGCCTTATTACTGTAATAAAGAACAAGAGACCCATTTAAACAAAATTGATTTCCCTTCCCCATATGATGCTACTGTTCAAATTTGGTCAAAATACCTTCATCCCAAAGGAAGAAGAAGGATATTTAAGCTATTCCTCTATATCCCTTATTGGGCCCTGCCTCTCTGTCCCAAGGGGATCAGACCCACTGCTTATACAAAATTGGTTTCCCCTCACTCAAGGGTGCTAAATACCAAACTTGGACAAAATCCTGTCATTCCTTACGGAAGAAGAAGGATTTTGAAAATTTGCTGTTTCACCTATTGGGCCCCAAGGGGGGCCACACTCGCTGTTTATACAAAATTTAGTACCTTTAGCCTAAGGATGCTTCAGACCAAATTTTGATGAAATCCCTTAATCCATATTGTAGAAGAAGGGTTTTAAATGTTAACTTCTATTTCCTCTATTGGGCCACGCCCCTCTGCCCCCCTGGGGGGCCACACTCACTGTTTATACAAAATTGAGTCCCCTTGGCCTAAGGATGCTCAAGACCAAATTTAGTCAAAGTCTACCAGGCTGTTCAGGACTAAAAGCGTTTTAAAGGAAAAGTTGACGGATGGACGACAGACGACGAACGCGGCAGTATGGCATAAGCACACCATGGTCCTTTGGACCAGGTGAGCTAAAAGGATTCACATAGCTGGTCTACATAACATACCCAAGTATTTTGACTTTAGTCAAATTGGTTTTTAGGATATTGTTGTTTTGAAGTTTTTAACATTTTTGACCCCTGTGACCTTGAAAGTAGGTCAAGGTCATTTTACTGAGGAAAATTTATAGCACACCATCCAATGTACCTACTGGGTCTTCAAGTTCTTCAGCAGAAGTCGTTCAAAAGAAAAAGTTGGCGGATGGCTGATGGACACCGCAGTACGGCATAAGCTCACATGGCCACTTCAAAATGTTGACAATCCAATAGTAAATAGTTCTTTTGAAGACAAAGATATTTTTTTTTCTTTTTTGTATACCAAACATATCTATATAATCAAAACACCAAAACCTTTATTTATAATAGAGATTTAATACAGATGGTGTCTTTAGCATCAGATACTGTGCTCCATTTGATGGACACGTAGATTATATGACAAATTAAATTCCTTATCATAGACATCACACTTAAAGGCTTCCCTTTGCCTGGTAGACTGGTACATAATTAGCAAATAAGTGTCTGTACAGCTGCAGATTTATAAAACTCCTTACCACAGATAGCAAACATAAATTATATCCCTCCTGTATGTTTCCTGAGGTTTTTAGATCTCTTGCCAGATTAAACCCCTGACCACAGACATCATCCTTGTATGGTGTCTCTTCTGTATGTGTCCAGAGCATCCTCAATACTGCTGGGATAACTCTCACTTATGATCTCTGACAGAGCGTAATCCCTCTCACTTACACTCTCTGACAGAGTGTAATCCCTCTCACTTACGCTCTCTGACAGAGTGTAATCCCTCTCACTTACACTCTCCGACAAGAGCGTAACCCCTCTCACCTTCGCTCTCTGACAGAGCGTAATCCCTCTCACTTTCGCTCTCTGACAGAGCATAATCCCTCTCACTGACGCTCTCTGACATAACGTAATCCCTCTTATTGACGCTCTCTGACAAGCGTAATCTCTCTCACTTACTCTCTCTGACATAACGAAATCCTTCTCACTTACACTCTCTGACATAACGTAATTCCTCTCACCGACACTCTCTGACAAGTGTAATCTCTCTCACTTACTCTCTCTGACATAACGTTATCACTCTCACTGATGCTCTCTGACAAGCGTAATTCCCTCTATTAATGTAAGGATGATGTCCAGAGGTGTATCTTTAGACCATCTACATGACTAAATACTACCAGTCATCTGATAATTACACATAAACAGTTTCTGTCCTGTGGCATCCGGATCTAGGTGTGTCTGTAGAGCTGTTAATTTAAATAACCCCTAACTACAAACATTGAACATCAATGCATGGTTTACCTCCTGTATGTGTCATGAAGTGCATCTTTAGACTAGATCGATGTTTAAACTCTTTACCACAGACATCACATTTGTATGGCTTCTCTCCTGTATGTACCCTTGAATGTATCTGCAGATTACATGATTGATTAAATACTCTACCACAGACATCACACTCGAATGCTTTCTCTCCTGTATGTATCATGAGGTGTCTCTTGAGGTCACTTGCTTGTTTAAACTCCTTACCACAGACATCACACTTGAATGGCTTCTCTCCTGTATGATTCCCCATATGTCTCTGACGATCACCAGCTTGATTAAACCCCTTACCACAGACATCACACTTGTATGGCTTTTCTCCTGTATGTGTCTCAATGTGACTCTGTAAATTACTTGAATGATTAAACCGCTTACCACAGTCACATTGATATGCCTTCTCTCCTGTATGTGTCCTGAGGTGTCTCGTTAAGTCACCAGGCTTATTAAACCCCTTACCACAGTCATCACACTTGTGTGGTTTCTCCCCAGTATGTACCCTGAGGTGTCTCTGTAGGTCACCAGCTACATAAAACCCTGTACCACAGACATCACACTTGTATGGCTTATCTCCTGTATGTATCCTCATGTGTGTCTTTCTGTGAAATGCCTGATTAAATGCCTTACCACAGACATCACACTTGTATGGCTTCACTCCTGTATGTGTCCTGAGGTGTCTCGTTAAGTCACCAGGCTTATTAAACCCCTTACCACAGTCATCACACTTGTGTGGCTTCTCACCAGTATGATTCTTGAGGTGTATCTGATGATCACTAGCCTGATTAAACCACTTACCACAGACATCACACTCATATGGCATCTCTCCTGTATGTATCCTCATGTGTCTTTTTGTGAGATGCATGAGTAAACCCCTTACCACAGACATCACACTTGTGTGGCTTCTCTCCTGTATGTGACCTTATGTGTCTCTGTAGATGACATGAATGATTAAACTCCTTACCACAGAAA